ATTCGGTCGAATTTACTTCCATTGCGGTCTTCCTGTAATTTGTGGGCGTTAATTCTTCCCATTAAAGCAACAACATCAAGAAGATTATAAATTTTCCTCTTGCTCGGTGGTGTTTATGATTTTTCATGTTGTCTTTGCCATACCTAAAAATAATTGAAATGGTAAAAAACATACCAACAGTGTTCGTTGGCCACGTCCTGCCAGGTGCAAACCTCATCAGTGGCCTGAATATAAAGCGAAAAGAAAAAGACAAGGAAACTTAAAAAAAAAAAAAAATTAGAATTTAAGTGACCTGTTTAATGTATTCACAAGTCAATGTTGACAAAAGGGGTGGAAAGAGTCGTAGTTTAATTTGCACTGAAAGACGTTTTTTTTTTCCGGCGGAAATGCTCTGCTTTTGTTATTGAACACCTTTTTCATTTCAACGTTTTATTTTCATAGACTGTCATAATGATAATTATTTCATTTCAACTTTTCTTTTAGAGTTCAGCGTATTCTGTGACAATTCACAATTCTGTGACAAAGTTGTCAAGTTGGTTTGTGTGTATACTTTGAGTTTAAAAAGAAAGAATTAAAATTCTGTGCTCGTCTTTTATACTTTTCAAATTATTTATTTTCTCTTCTGTTGCTTTGGTTTAATTTCCGTGCTCCGCGGTTAACTGTCCTGATTTGCAAAAGGGATCTCCGACTTTTACAGCGAACTAATTACGAAAAATGCTTGGAAATGTGGCATTAAAATACTTCATTTACGTGATGATCGCGACTTCGTAAACAAACACATAAAAATTTCGTAAATTGCTTTTAAACACTGGTCTTTTCCTCTTCAAGATTTGACAGATTGAATATTTTATCGAAGTGGCAAGTTTCGAAGAGTTTGTTGTTGCCAGCTCAACCTACTGTGAGAAACTGAAGAGCCAGCTGCCCACCAAAAGTTCATTATATAAATTATGATCTACTGAAGAGAGAGAAGATTAAAATCATCTTTTATGTACTCATCTGCGAACCTTACATATAATTTCCCACTAGAAAAAAACCGAGCGTTTCAAAACACGAAATGAATACAAAACTAATCGTTGAGTTTCTTGCATATTTTATCCTAATTTTCACGACACCTCCAAGCATCTTGCCACAAATTGAGATTAGTAAATTAGCGTTTAAGTATTTCTAGCACGAATTATTTAAGATCGCTGACAAAAGATGCTAATTTGGAGGGTTTTACAGACATCATACTTCGTTTTCGTTGTGTTTCATTTATAATTAAAAAATGAAAAACGCGTTTGATCTTGTATAATCTACTGCTGGAAAGTGCGGCGGATAAATTCAGGTATTATGCCATCCACTTGAAAAAAACTTTCTAAAAAAAAAAAAAAAAATCAAGCAATAAAATTTCAAATAAACGAAATTTAGCAGTACTAATCATCAATATTATAGTTGACTCGTTTGCGACTGATCTGGTATCGTTTCCAGCGGCAAAGACATTTAAAGAAATTTGTTGCAAATGCATCAAACCCGGCCAACAGACAGCTAAAAAACATCAAGCTGCGAGGTAGCTCCAGCCGACACGTTTTTGTCAAATTCACTGCTATAACCCAGTTTTGAGTTTCCTCTCGCTCTATCTTTTTCCAGCTGGCGTCGCCAGTAAAGACAGCAGAGTATTAAAGTAAGAACACACAAAGCCAACACTCCGAAAACCACTCCAACGATGAGAATGGTCTTTTCTGAAATTTCCTGACTCGCCATTAATCCACTGAGCACAATTAATAAAACGGCTGCTGCTGAAGTGTAAATTTTTACGCCGTCTTCGTGCTCTTGCACTTCTGAAGCGATGATTTAGATTTGAAGAAGTATATGTTTGTTATTTTATCAAATGTTAATATATGTTACTGTTGGTTCGCGTGAATTGAGAAACTTTGCACAATAGAGTCGGCCTTTTCCAGTTAGATACCTGAGGGTTTGTAGTTAGAATTTTAAGAGGCGTTTCAAACCAGTGATGCT